TCATTTAATTATTTTCAAATTATATAATCACTTCAAATTAGGGCTGTTCGATATAACGATATATATCGGATGACGATATAAAAACATCTATCGTTTCATTTTACGCTATCGTTTGTTTCGTGGTGTCCCAAAATAAACTGTTTATGGCAATATTTTTTCATCGTTTTGATGGTCACTGTAGTGGCTATATTAATTTCTTAAAGTTTTCTCTTTCTCTTATATTTTATATAACCACACTACAGACGGACAAGCGCCTGTTTTTATGCCTTGTGGTTAGCAACAATGAAGGTAACAGCATCGCGTGTCCGCTTGTTTATGTTCCACATAAACCTTTCACAATAAAGCTCAAGATCCTGTTGAGACTTTTCAAAATAAACTGAATCACGTGAAAGAGCAGATTATTTACGGATGAGAATTCAAAAAGAGCCGCCAGGTGCTAAAAAAATAAACCTTAGACTCAAACGTTAGAACAGGCTTTTCCCTGCAGCACGCCGTGTAATAAATACTCACAAAGAAAACGGCGGCCGTTACAACTTATGTCTAAAAATGTATCGTTTCATGCATCGGTTAAAACACTCGACTCCAGCTACATGACGCACAGCTGGAAACACTTCCCGCAAGACGAGCTGCCCGAGATTCACAGAATTTACAGAAAATGTTACATTTTTGTGATTTATGTCGTTATCGGATGATAGAATTCTTATATCGGGATATGAGATTTTGGTCATATCGCACAGCCCTACTCCAAATCCTAGTGACTTGATGACTAGCCAAAAGAAACGAAGCAAAAAGACCACAAGATGGCAATGACAGCTTCAGAAAAAAACAAAAGGGGTTCCCCAGATGTGACAACTTTCATGTAAACCTGACATTTATATGACAGTCATTTCTTAAAAAAAATAGAAAAAGAGGTCAAGTGTCTTACAAAGTCAAAATAACACAAAAGTATGCTGGTGCACACTATTTATGTATCAGGTGCAGCTTGCTAGCCATTTCTCAGGAAGTTTGGCTCTTGGGAAAACTCTTCAACATTTATTGAATACATACCCATTACACACATGGCTAGTGGCACTGCAGAAGCAGGAGCAAGTCATCTGTGTCCCCCCCTTAGATTGATTCTAGTCCACAGGTTTCACATCTGATGCTACTACACAAAATAGAATATCCACCCACCCAATTGCAGGACCACCATACTGGGAATTGCCTTTTGCCACAAAAAGCATAAACTCCAGATCTGCTTCATTTCACATCTGTCTGTCCCATCCTGTCAACCATGTGACCCTGCTCAACATGACATCGCTAAACTCTGAGATTCCATTACAGTGCAGTTGGCCTCCTGCACGCGGTCCCACTCTAAAATTCATGAACACTGCTTTCTGTTTTTTTTTTTTTTTACATCTAGAATATTCACTAACCATGTGTTTTTGTTTCCTGGAGAAACGTGTGTGTGTGTGTGTGTGTGCGCGCGCGCACCCAAGCTGTGGGTGCCTCATTCTCATTCATATGCATCAGCAAGTTATCAGGGACTGTTGTGCCTCATTGAGCTGAGAAGCTGCTTTCCATTTATTTCTCAAATGCAGTGGAGAGTGATTCTTCTCCTGCCTAATAAAACTTATAAAACTGGCTATACTGCTTTCAAAACTTCTACTAACAAAAAAAAAAAAGCGAGGCTCATTGGGCAATTAGTAAACGGGATAATGAAATATGGAGAGTATCTGCCGTGCAGTGCGAAAGGTGAAATTCATTACCCAGCCACATTTGGAGCAGCTGGCTGCTACAGTAGATAGTGGTGGCTCACCGGGGAAGTTTGGAGACCTATTGTAGGTGGATCTTTGGTTTGATTGCAATGCCATTGCAAAAACAGCTTTTGTTGAAAGCCAATGCAGGCTGTTCCGGCAAAACATCTTTAACTCTACACTGCATTCCTCGTCTCATCAACATCTGCCATCCTGCTAATTAGGCCCAAAAAGCCACACATCACTGGGTTTTAGTGGTGCACAGACAATGTGTGACACTCACGAGGGGAGCTCATGGACACAATGGGAATTTCAAAACCCTGCTAGATCACAGAGCGAATCGGAGTTTGTTACTGTCGGCAAGATAGCCTGAGCACCCGCACGGTGGAAAATATATGCTGTAAGAATCTGCCTGACTATAGCTTTTGAGTATAGCTGCATGAGCCTTGGGTCTACATGCTAAATGCATAAAGCAGTCTACTGTTCGGTGTACAGGTTTTGCCTTTGATGACAAAAGTGCCGTCACTGGGAGGTTAACTGGAGTGGAATCCCACAGAGATCAGCTGGAGCAAAGGTTAAAAGAAATGCAATCAAAGAAGATGAGCAATCAGAGGACTCAAACAGAGCAGTCAAAGACAGAAAGATGGACAAGCGTTAATCGGTTGGAGTATAAAAATAAATGTGAGGCTGGAAAGTTAGAAAAAGAACAAGGCCACAAGAAGATTGCTGTGTCTTATCCCTGACCCAAGAAAGCTGATTCAATAAACAAAGAATCTCAGCTCTGTTAGATAGCTTTGCAGGCCAGCCGACAAAGGTGAAGATATTTTCATGCAGAACACCTGCAGCCGTGAGAATAGAAGAAAGGGGAAACGGAGGGAGTGCGAACGAGAGAGCGAGCTAGTCATAAATCTCCCACAGCTAGCAGGGTCAGGCAGATGGAGAGAGTGTCAAAATTGTTTCTAGACGTGAAGGAAAGGGGAGAAAGGTGGCTAACCAACCCCTGCGACTGTCTCCTGCTCTTCAAATCAACCTGCCACGAGGCTGGTCAGTCACGCTGTGACACCAGCAAGCCATTTCTACCTCATTTGCATACACACACTCACATACTCTGCATAATAATAGTAGAGTGGCATAGCAAGCGTGTGTGTGTGCGTACAATTCTAGGTGTGTGTGCATTTCTGCACAACAGAAACACAACCAGAAGACAAAAACAACAACAAAGCTGTGAGAATGATGGGGAAAAAGACATGTAGCAAGGGTGAAAGCTAGACAGACAACATGTAAGAAAGACGATTAGATTGCTGGTGGCGAGAGCGGTGAGTACAGCTTTTTGCTGTCACAACATACTTTTCCTGACTGTAAAAACATTGTTTGGCATTCTCGCAAGGAAAGCTCTGCTACTATAGGAGACTTGCCTCACTGTCCATCATCTTCTACTTTTGGTACCCATCCTGCTGTACACCGTGCTTATTTGTTCACAGAGGACATGTTTGAACGTGTGCATGGAAGTGTGTTTGCAATGCAGTGAAAAGAGGTGGTTTCAGGGTTTCTCACTGGTGAAGGAACTATACACTTCCCTTCTATTCCTTCTTTTTTCCCCTCCCGTGTCAAGGATGCTTCACCCGCTCCTGCTCCTTTCCTCGATTTCCTTTTCACCCTGCATCATTAACAGCTTACTCTATATTCCCATCTCAGTCTTTATCCTCCTTACTCTACATCCTTTCTGCCTTGCCTCCCACAGCGGTGGTCAGAAAGCAGCTGCTGATGTTGCAGCTCACACCTGACCCAGCTCAGTATATCAGTGGGTGGACAGATATGCCAGAGAGATCCTGTCAATGGCAACTGTGCCCTGGAGACTGCCCCACTTGGCGGATACTGAGCCCCTTCTGCTAGACTACTAGAAAGGGGAGTCAACACTATTTCTTAACAAGTGGTGCAGAGAGAGAGGGACGCAAAAAGCCAAGATAAGCACCAAGGCAGCACTATTTTTACGATCCTTCTGTGGCGAGGCAGGCACTGCAGTGGCTTCCTACTCATCCTTCGGGGTCCCTTGACAGTTCTGTTTGCTAATATTAAACAGGCCAGTAGTGTGTGCGCAACTTCCACTGCTGCTGATCTTGAAGCTTGCAGCCCACCTTTAGTGTAGCACCCTTTTCTGACCATTAAAGCAGCTCAGAATCTCGCTGACAATGTTCAACCTCTTAGTTTGGCAGCATCTCGGGGCGCATATAAGCCCAAATCTACAGGCAGTGGTTAACCAACGCTAGTTTACCTCCCCCGCTTCTTCTCACCCCATCGCCTCACAAGGGTAAAGAGAGACATTTCACGTCTAATTAATGCACGGGATGGTTGTATAAAATGGCTAATGAGGCTGTGATCACAGCGGCGTGAAGGCAGGCACTACTGCTGGGGAGGGGGATGAGCATGACTCCACTTCCAGGAGACACATTGCTTCATAGTTATTAGCCTGTCATAGGAAGAGGGCTAATGGGGAGAATGGAGGTGCTTGTTTATGTGTTTGGCTCCACCTCAGTCAGTGAGATGTGTGTCCTCCGCCTCTTTGCCTGTTTCCTGACAAAACGCTCAAGCAGTTGCTTAAAAAAAACAAACTTTATGCCGTTTCATCAGCTGTGTCAGCCTTGAAAAAAGAAAAGAGCACATTAAGGGAACTGATATAAATGTGCAGTCAGATGAGCAACATTTGCTCGAATGTAGGCGCTGTTACCTGTGAGAGCAAGACTATCACACTCAAGTGATCCACAAGAAATATAAACAGAACGACTGCTGGTACAGCACTGAAGTGTCTAATGAAAACTTTTCATAAAATACCACAAAAAAACCCCTTCGGCAATTCTCGCTGAACATTATGAAAGAAAGAAATTGGAACAAACACGTCATGTAGTAGAAACCAGGTGCTACTATTCTATTAAAAAACTTGCTCCCTCAGCACAGCTCTTCGAGCAGGATGAATGGACTGCACACTAGCTACTCTCTGAGAGACTGCTCATTACTCAAATCACATCTGCTAGTGAGTAAGAAGCCCCTCTCTCCATTATGCTGCCTCACTTTCATAGTGCAAATATATTCATTTCAATCTTCTACGTGAAATGCCCTGAACGAGGCTCCGGACTTGAACTGCTCTCTTCAAAACACGCACAGTGAATCAT